GCTGGTATCACTGCTTCAAAAATGTTGTTTGCCAATCACAAGGAGGCACGATGATAACAGCATAACAAATAGCGTGGTGCTTCTTCATAATTTCCCCCGTGATGCATATCAAGAATAAAACACGAAATGCTGCTTTGCTTAAAAAACAAAAAGTCGGAAAGGAGGCAAAAAAAAAACACAGGAGGGACAGCGGTAACACAACAGGATGATGAGTGTATTAGGAATGTCACGATCTTATCTCAAAGATCAGGATCGAGAGCCAGTCAAGACACTTTTTAACTGAATTTAAGCACAACCAGGCACTACAGCTAGTCTACTATATATTTTCTTATATAGAGCATACAGGTTTTTGCTGTTACTAGATTGATTTTAATAGCTTTAATGCACTTGTAGTGTGTGTTATGTGGGAAAGTTATATGAAATCAGCAGCAAAAAAGTTGAACCATTCAGAGTGTGTCATATTAAATGGAGCTATTTTGTAGTAGTTTAACCCTAATATATGTGATTTAATGTAGTTAAACACAGTGTAAAGTTGATCATAATTACACTTTAATCTTCAAATGGCTATAGGTATTTATTGAACTAAAGAAGAAGCTTGTCACACAGTATAAAGCAGTTCTGGACGACATGTACTGCTCGACTCATTTAGATTAGTTTACAGATGAAGCGTTATTAACATTCCTAATGAAACAGAAGAAACGTTATCACCAGGCTGTAAATAAACACTGGATCTCATCCAGTGTATGTGGCAAAATTACGTCCAAAGAATGCTCGCTCATTCGCCATGGGAAAACCTGAACAATGAGCCACCCATTCTTCAAGAATAGTCGTCGGTCTAAAAACAGCTGAGATGCTGATTGCGGAGATTTGCCAGAAATGTGGAAGCACAGTGGAGAAAAGGTCTGATGCCAGAATAAAGAACTGTTCTCTTTCTCAGCTACATTGTGAGAAAAAAGAAAAAAAACACCAATTGACACGACAGCCATTTGCAGTAAGAAATGGTTGCTCGGTAAGAGTGGATAATGAAGCTCAGAGTTCAACTTGTGGGCTCCCAAACTTTTATTTTGATTAAACTTAACGCATATGGTCTCAATTTAAACTCACAGGGAATTTCTTCTCTCTTTCAAGAAAGCAGAGAGTGGCCCAGCTGGAAACAAAAGAGGGGATGCGGTTTTCACATTGTGAATGTGTCTTTTTGTGAACAGAATAAAGAGGAGGGGGGTTAATTCATCTGATTCCTTCATGCCACTGTGGCATAAGCTGTATGTATTGTCAGCCAGGTGTCCATGGCAACAGCTGCAGAGCAAGGAAATCACCCCCACCCCCCTTCCCTTCTTTTTTTTTTTTTTTTTCATTTCTGTCCAGTACCTTGTCAAATTTCTGCCTCCTTCTCCCTCCCTCTCTTTCCAACTTGTACAGACATGGTTCGTGGATTTTTGGGTGGGGAATGTTCAGGTATGCGTTTGCACATACACACACACATATTCTGTCTGTGTGCTGCTGCTGTAGCAGACTAGGGAACAATGAGTCTCAAAAAGAGACTTTCCTTCAAGAGGACCTGGAACTTCAACTCTGTAAGTAAACAGTGGCTTACTAGCCGAGCGTCCTCTTTCTCCTCGACACGGAGCGAGGAGACTCTTTCTGCTCACTCAACTGTTTTTGTCATTAATATCCTTCTTTGTTGCTCGTCTTTCCCCCCACTTACAACAGCTGTTTGAAGCGGCAGGAACTCATGCTAATTAGTTTGCGGGGTGCTAGAATCAGCCGTGACTTGTGTAAAAGTTTAGAAGAGACTTTTTTTTTATCAGATTGTGGTACAGTGCTGAATAAGTTACATTTCAGCTCAATTCTGAGGGCAGGGACGTGCCTACACAAGCCCCAAAGATAAAAGTCTTCTCTTTTAAAACAACAGAAATGTACTCTGTGAAAGGTGTTCATGGGTGACATTAATATTTATGTGAGTGAAGCATGTAATTGTGACGTCTCACTTCAAATCATACACATAAATCTGTCTTGGTCTGATCATATATGTTGCTTCTGTGTCTCGAGATGTTGCTGTATGGCGTGTGGGGCTGTACTACAGTAAAGCTAGAAGAGCTAGAATCGTGTTCTTTCCAGTGTTAGAGTCTGTCACTGGTGTGACTTCAGTTGGGATTTTCTATATTTGGTTAACAACTTTAAAGTAGACAACTTTAGGGTGGATTCCAGGAGGCTAATGAGATTCAACCTAGCCAGAGAATAAATGCATCAAAGAGGACCTGTAGAGCTGCAGAGCCACCCACAGTGGACCAGTTTGTCACCAGAGGTGTCAACAGAGGAAGAAAGCATATGGACATGAGGTGATGGTCTGCCTGAGTCATCACCGTGGCCTCATTGCAGGAGAATCGTGGGCAGGGAAACAATAACGAGTTAAAAAAAACATATAGTTGTGTGTGTGTGTGGTCTAACTGATGCCACTTCATGCATGCAAAAATAACCTCAGTTACCACCTTCTGTGCATTTGCCAGCCCTACCTGGTCTACTTTTACAAGTATAATGCCTAATGATGTATTTGTGTTGGCACAGTTAGTCATTGAACCGATTAGTCGATCTGTAGACTGACAACCAACATTATATTTTATAGAATAAAAATGTATGAAGCTAAGCAGCCAAACATTTGTTCTTTCCTGTCCCTCAAATTTAAGGATTTGCTTCGATCATTTAAAATGAAAATCAATTTGTTATTTGAACATGTCAGCTT